TCGTCTTTCCACGACATTTGAAGTGTAACATGCAGATACAGGGCCAATTTGTACTTTGCTTTCGCTTGACTTGACTCTTTGCTGACTCAAGTAATGCGGTGGAAGCAAAGGTACCTTCGACCAGTAGTGTGGCACAACCCAATATCAGCGTACCACTTCTATTTGAAGGCAACGTTTCTCCTTCATTCAATAAATAAGAATAATGAAGACGAAATAACAAGTAAGCGTTTCTGAACAATACCAAATTACGCGAAATTCCCGTGATACCCCAACAACTCTGCAACGCATTTACTCGAGTTACCCCAGTGAGAAAATGTGGCGGCTTTTTTCAACCGAACTCGCTGGCACTCAAACCCACCATAATATTACTCACTCGAATTCACTCAGACTCATGGCTCGCTCTGAGTATAGGTGAGTCGGAGTTAGTAGACTATGAGTCTGTTAACGCATGACTAGCTTCTCCACGAGCATGCTTTTCAATGCTCTTTAACTGCAATATCTCGCTTAATTGATGCTATACTTCACACCTTTTGATCTATATATACGTTTAAGCAGTGCACGCTTGCAATCAAAGAACTTTTTATTGAAAGAGCTGACTAGATCATGAATAATATTACCAAGAACTTCTCGTGAAAAAGTGCAGTAGAAGATCAACGCACCCCCCCCCCCCCGTACTAACACGACTGATTAATAATTACTGAGCTGGCTTATGAACGCTGGTGCGTTCAAATATGTGTGAGTAGCCATGTCCACAATCACCAGCTGGCTTAAAGCTAATAGTAATGCCGAAGTTTAGTAGTTATCAGCGGCACCTGTGTTCCTTATTGAACAAAATGCACGCATGTTGAAGTTGCTTGGCTCTTTTGTCGGTGTAGTAAGTGATGTATTATCATTGCTCAAATGATAAGACACTCTATCCAATGAGACCATGGCACCAGAAGGACACGTCACTCGAGTTTTGTCGTGCTATCGAGGCAAAACAAAACGTCAAAGCTGGTTAAGCTTTATCTGTACAAGAGTAATTTTGCTTTTTGGTATGAAAGCCTCGAATATATAGCCTGCGCAGCTCTGATTTTGGTGGAATTAAGTTTCACTGAATGATAACTAAACAAATCGTTTTGATGGGCGAGTTAGCTCACAGTATGGAATAGATTGGAGAGCAAAAATAGGGTGCACAAGAAGACAAGAGGCTTGTCTTCTTGTGCCCGTCTTTTAGCGCTCTTATCTAATCCAGTTCACTGAAAGAGCTAAGACAGCATACCAAATATTTTTTTATTCCTTTTGATAACATAATGGTAAAAGTAGTTTTGAAAAGCGACTAGTCACTGTTCAAAGGCTTTGCGTGACTATATTCAATGCTATATCCCATATGAATGACGTAGGCAGTAACGCCTGCGCCCCAGGCATTTAACATGATTCTTGCTGCGGTTAACAATAGATGTAACGCGCGTCAGTTTCACTAGTAAATTTCTGTTTCCAGTCTGCCTGTCCGGCGGGTCGAATGCGCTCACTTTGCATCCCGTTTTCGCCACGTTTTGCTTGTTGCTACGTTATCACGCGTGCCATGCATGAAGTTCGTTGTTGTATGCTTATCTCGACAATGAACCATTCCGTGCCTCAGCTTACGCACCTTACGAATTCGAATTCGTAGCAAGGAATCACATGTATAAATAGCAGAGCAAACGCATCTTAAGGGCGTTTGTACAAGTTCCACAATAAATAAATCTAGAATGCGGTGGCGTTGTTCATGTTTTGATTCAATAATTTTCAGGCAGCGTCAACTGAACTGTTCTCGCAATTTAGAGCGCGTCTTTTTGTTTGGTTCATGTTGCATGGAAGATGTCTTATGGAGCGCAATGTTCTCAGCAAGAAAGGCTCATGAATACAACGCAAACAAAGCGATTTTTGTGCGTAGTTATCGCATAAAAGCTTAAGCTGCCATCTCATCTGGGACGCTAAATCAGAAATATTCTTACCCGCACAAATTTTGGTGCTTCAAACCACATCTTCCGTGCAGCACGAACCGAGCAGAAAGGCACACTCTAAATTTCTAGAACAGTTCGATTCACGTTTTCTGAAAATTATTTAAGAGAACATGAACACCCCACTGCATTTTCAAATTTATTGTGCAATTTTTACAAGCACCTCAAAAGTGCGTTCGCTCTGCTTTTTATACGTGATTCCTTTGAGCAGCAGCTGCGAACTCAAGCACGAAAGATGCGTAAGCTGTCGCAGCAATGGTTCATTGTCGAGATAAGTATTAGGCAACCAACGCCATGGGTGCGCGCGATAACGTCGCCACGAGGGAAACGTGGCGAAAACGGGTTGCGAAGTGAGTGCATTCGACCCGCTGGTCAGGCAGATTGGAAACACAAATTTACTAGTGAAAACGACGCGTGCTATATCTATCCTTAACTGGAGCAAGCAATATCATTTTCAACGCTTGGTGGCGCTGATCTCAGTCCAAGTGAGCCGAGGCCACGCGTCGGGGCGTTCACTTAAAGGTACACTTTCTTCTTTCTGTCTTTCTTTTGTCTGCCGAGTAAGTTCTTTATCAGTTTACTGAACCCAAAAATATCTTAACACAAAAATACGCATAATCACAGCAACATTTAATACGCACACAAACCAATATTCAGGAAGAGTACAGTCTGATGCTCGCGCGGAGAGCGGGAATACACAAGCATGGAATGAACTGAATACGTGTATACACATGAACGTTGAGCGCACAGGCACAGTCTGCTGTACTATCGAGGACGACTGGTGATAAACTTCTTGTGCCAAGTTTGATAAAGTGCCAGTAGTTTACAAAGTTCTCCCGACGTCTCGCGTCTGTCGAATGACTGATTGTACGTATATATAGTGTCCGAAATACCGCGTTCGCAAGCGTTCGTGAAGCTCGGGGTTCACCCAAAACAGCGCGAAGCCAACATGCACAACTTGTCACAAACATATTGAGACCTTCGCATGGCAGTTCCAAAAAAGCATCGAACGCTTATGTCATCCACAGCGAGAATTCAACACTTTTTGGATAATCAGTTTCGGATACACTGACCATTCACTTGACATTTAAGGCCTTCGTGTTTGCTCATATGTCAAGGACCAGATAACCGGAAGGCAGCTAGGCAGGATAATTAGCTAGACATGGGAAGGAATGTGGTTAGATATTAACTGATCCCCCAAGTTTGCACCTGATTCTGTGCATCTCGCTCTTTTATTCATTTTCGGCCTTATTGTAGACCAAAACAATATGTGTAGAAGCAATGTAACAAAATTTTCATTTAACCAATTAGGCAAGAACAGCTGGTACAAGTTTAACCATGGTAAATGAGTGAGAACAAACTCAACATCATTTTTATTACCTATACACAGCTATGTAGATTTGCTATGTAGCTATGTAGCAACTCCCATGCGCTACAAAAGGAAACAGATTTTGCGACGTTCTTTTGAAATATACCTTTCTCCTAAACTACAGGTTAGTTATGGTCTTCCGTCTGCTAATTATATGCGTTGTCCTCCATCGCTAGAGGAATCATGCAGCTTAACGAATGAATGCTTCTTGCGTAGATGCACATTATTTTTTTATGAAATAAATTTTTATCCGAAGCTAAATATTACGTGTGTGTGCTTGTGTGGTTCAGGCCAACAATCTCACCGACGATGCAGCTGACACATTTTTACATTCGCATTGCACTTTTTTCATGCTTGCGCAAGTTTCAAGGCTTGAGGCCTCAGTACCTGTGTTAAGTTTTTCCAGCTTAACTGTATATACTGGGTGGAGTAGCTAGAAACTGTATGGTACATGACATTGAGATCTGTGCACAGCCTTTCTTGTATGCTATGGCGTTGATCGAAGTATAGTTGTACTACAGTTGGCGACTGTTCAGGCTGTTCACCTTAGGCTTGAAAAAAAAAAAACTATTCGAGGCAGCTGTACACATGACTGCTAAGTTGGCATTGTATTGTGTAATGGATATATGATTTATTGAATGCAGTCTGTAGATTGCTTTGTTAGGATGTACCATAGTTTTCTTACAGCGTTTTCCTAGTCAATGACAGCTTTTGTTTATTACGCACCTTTCTTGATGGAGCTCGCAATGCAACAACCTGGGAATTTACATCGCTCTTAGCAATTTGAAGCACAAAATGCTTCAGTTTAGCACGTGATGGTACAGTTAACTTCGACCTTTGCACGCACGTCAAACGACCAGATGCAGCCAAGGAGGATTCAATAAAAATTGCTGGAGCGGAAGCTTCCGCAATGCCTTGCCAGCAGAAGTGAAGCCACCTTTTGCCCCTGCCAAGATGGCACAAATATGCTCTTTTCTGATAGTGCCCACTTAAAGATCAAGTGGCTTTGATATGTTATGTAAATGCTACGTTAGTTCTATATTAAAAGATAGTTGTTCCCGATGAAATAACACACAGAAACGAGTATGGCCGACTGAATCTTCAGAGAACTTTGCCTCTAATTAAAGGCTTACTAAGGAAAATTAGTACTGTAAGACGCACTTGGAGCACTATGTGACCCGAAAAGTTCTCACATTAAACTCGTAGGGCGTGCGAGGGAAATGCTCCCTTTTTAATCGCTGAACGGTGATACTTTATCATGCCCCTATAAAGATGGCTACCACCGCCACCATTTCGCCAGAAGAATGGCTTCACTCCTGGGCCATCATTCCACCTCCAGTAATTTTTTTAGTCCTCCTTGGATGCAGCGAACTTCCACGTTGGAATTGAAAGCACACAAGTAACCTTAAATGCTATACATCAAAATGCACATGCACGAGTCTCTGATTCGATTACTGTCACGAAACAGACTTGGCATCCTTTAAATGTCCTTAAGTGAACAAAGTCAGAAAATCTTCAGGCGCGGCGTCTATTCACTGGCGGTCCATTATGCAGCCTGTGCGGCTTCTCTCACTTCACAGCCGTCAGGCCTCTCAGCCACACGCTTGGTGGTAACATCACAACAAATGTCCTTGTTTCATTCTGGGATGTTTCACACAGCCAATAGAAAATAAAATAAAGAGAAACACAACTGATGCGAGGCAACACAATAGTTGCCGGACGCCTTCAGCCGCAGGTGTCCGGCAATAAGGGGAGAAGTCAATAGGAGATGTCTACAATTTTTCGTCCACGCCATATTCGATATTGTAGTAGGCGTGTTCGGGAAAGTTGTCTAGGTCAATGTATCCGGCGTTCAGCTTGATGAGTTGATCAAGGTCGGTGGCAAGCTTCGAGAAGGGCGGCCGCTCCTTCGGGTCTGGGTGCCAGCAGGCACGCATGAGTCGGTACAGTTCCCAGCGGCAGTGCACCGGCTGTGCCATCACGCGACCGTCGCGTACTGCATGGATCACCTCCTGAGCGCTTAGGCCTGGGTATGGTGTGGAACCTATGAGCAAGCAGGTGAAAACGGCCCACCGGTTGTTTAAAGGCAGTGTGGTGGGAACATGATAGGTCGGGGTTGGCCGCCATCTCTCGGCGGCCACAACACACTGAACCATTAGTGAGAAGTAGGCGAAAAAAGAAAAAAAAAAGCCCTATGTGGTGATCAGTAATATAGGCACCAAAATGCACTTTCTATCCTATAGACGAGATACTATTCGGAACATTCGGGCAAGATTCCCGCGGTTCGCTGAAACGTACGCAGGTTCTAAGGTCATTTGAACCTTTCACACATTCAACCTGAGAGGAGACGCTTGTGCACGTTCTTTGCCACTGCCCATCATACCAATCTGAACGAAGTGCCATGGAAGTCAAGCTCCGTCATGTGGATTCGCGACCACTTACAGAAAAAAAAAAGATTCTAGGACCTTGAAGACCTATGGTCTGGCATACGCGCAAAGCCACAAAAGCTCCTTTGTGCTTTTTAAGGACCACCGGGCTCACGATGCTTGTGAACCAACAACGTGAGACGATGCTGTGTAGTCTCGAGGTGACTATCCAACGCTTTCTTACTCTTCTTCTTCTTCTCTATCCTTTCTTCTCTATTATTCCCGCTCCTCCCCCCTAGTGTAGGGTAGCCAACCAAGCCAAGCTTGGTTAACGCCCCTGCTTTTTCTCTCTCAGTCTCTCACCCGTACGTATTAACGGCGGTGTTGTAAAAATACTAAAATATCGTGGGATCGTACCTTATGGGACACTGTACAGTAATTTTACTACAGTGTTTCAACGGGTATCTCCTATATCATGAGTGAACTTTTATGACTAGTTTTACTCGTCGCACGTTTCTCTTTTTCGTGGCTTTTCATTTAGCTATGGCGGAGTGCAATGTAGCTCCAAATACAAGTTTCATCATCGTAGCATTCACGCTACGATGGTGTAAACTAAGCTCACCAACGATGGCTGTCGTGCCGCCATACTCAGTATACAGCAGTTGTTTTGTGCCATAGAGTTTCCTGTATAACAATGTCTCCTTTATTCTTTCAATTCCAGTGCAAACGCTCGCTTTTCAACTGGAGCCGTCGGTCCGCCTATATAGCTCAGAGAATGGTCATGATGTGACGCCACATAATGGGCAGTGCTGCTTGCGTCGCACAAGCATCCCCGGAGACGTGCTCCTTCCCCGGAGACGTGCTCCCCACTCCAATATCACGCGTCTCTCATATTTCTTCCTTCCTGCTCCTTTGTGGCTCGTAGGAATGCCGCTGCTGCATCACAGTGCTCTTTAAGTGCTCTTTGAGTTAGCGCGTGCAGTTGCGTTGAAGTGACGCTTCCCCATTGGTGGCCCGCATAGCGCCACGAACGGAGGCACGCTATCTCAAAACACCGTATGTTTTACAGAGCCAGCGTGACAGCCAACATTATGAACACGAGGAATGCAAGACACCGCCCCACGGATCTGTATGCAACTGAACAAAAAATTACTTCATATGATTTCCGTCATGAGGCGCTACATAATGGGCTCTCTCCCCCATGACCACAAAGCACTAATGAAGGCTAGGCGATGGGCAGGAGTAGGAAAGGGCTAGAGGAGATGGTGGTGAACGGCTGATAGGGCGGGTCTGGCTTGCAATGATAAAATAGAGGAGGCGCTGCCTGTAAGTACACTAGAGGGAACTCTGCCGCATTAGTGTCCATAGGAGCTACGACGCACGGCACTTCAGCCAGTATGGGAATGATGGGTAGTACACAAATGTGTCTTATCATCGTTCTTGCGGCTCCGAATGACTTCGCGTGACCGCGTTGTCACGATACGATAATCAGCAAAAGTTCAGCAGTTGCACTTCAACACCTCAACTTTTTAGGCTCGCCCATTCAATTGGGTCACGAAGCTCACAACGGGTTGTTCTTTTATTGGAAAGAAAATCAAAACACAGCCATGAACAAAGCCACAAGTTCATTTGAAGCCGTTAATTGATTGATTGATATGTGGGGTTTAACGTCCCAAAACCAGCACATGATTATGAGAGACGCCGTAGTGGAGGGCTCCGGAAATTTCGACCACCTGGGGTTCTTTAACGTGCACCCAAATCTAAGCACATGGGCCTACAACATTTCTGTTTCCATCGGAAATGCAGCCGCTGCAGCCGGGATTCGATCCCGTGACTTGCGGGTCAGCAGCCGAGTACCTTAGCCACTATACCACCGCGGCGCGGCAGCCTCAAGCACGAAGACCAGGCCGATCCGTGTACTATACACCCACTGTTCCTATGGTGGTTGAATGATTGCAGAGCCAGAGTCTCCTATAGTTAATTTTAGGAAGCTATGATTGGCTCCACTTCCTAGCGCCTTCTCGGGCTCAGAGCGAGACAACTTGATTCACACTACAGGTCAAACAGAAGAGATGTGACGAATCATGCCGCGACAGCTGGTCTCCTCGGCGACCTTCATTCGATTTTTTTTTGGCACTGCGACCGTCACATGGCGGATATTCTTGCTGAAAATCGCACCTAAATGAGGCCACATTCTTTGTGTATTCCCCCCGCCATGTACTGCTGCAAGCCAGCAAAAGAATGAAATAGGCATGCCTACCCAGCGTAACGATTTCCCACAGCAGGATTCCGAAGGCCCACGCATCGGACTTTGTGGTGAACACCTGCAGGTAGAGACACTCCGGGGCCATCCACCGCACCGGTAGCGCACCCTTTTTGCGACGCAAGAAAAGAAGCGAGAGAAAATAAAAACACACACACACATTAATTGCCTTCAGCGGCACTTCAATGTGGACAGTTGGGAGTTTGTGAAAACACTTAGGTAATACAAAATCCGTGCAGATCATGTTAGGAGTGATCTAAGCGGTGCGTAAGCGTGGAGCTGCACCGTATGTTCCCATTGGTCTACATTCTAGGATACCACTGGCATAGCGTTTTTCACCAGCTTTTTCAGTTTATTATTATATTATTATTATTACTATATTTATTATTATTATTATTATTATTATTATTATTATTATTATTATTATTATTATTATTATTATTATTATTATTATTATTATTATTATTATTATTATTATTATTATTATTATTATTATTATTATTATTTGGCGTGCGTGGCATCTGCCCTCTTGCTCAGGCGTGATTTGGCATTAGCCTAAATTTTCGAAGTCATAATTTACAACACATGTGCAATGCGCGATGCCGACAGCACAGCCGTCAACGGTATAAATTTAAATTATTAAACATCTAAATAAAGATTTAAATAAAGATCTGTTAGGTCAGTGGACCATAAGGAAATCGTTATCTTAATTGCACCTCATAATGAATGTAAACATTCTACGACTTTGCCACTAATTTGTTGCGTGTACCTATATAGAGAGTCAGAGTCACAACAAAACTGCCGCTTTAACTTGATAAGATGCGTTGCTGGGCAAATTGGTGCATGTCTAAAGTCGAGCGCAAAAGTCCTGTCTACTTGTTTTCCTGTGTTTCGTCAATTTGTTTTTGCGCTTGACGTTTATATTTATGTTTTTGCCGCTTTTAAGCAGCAGTATTAAGATTTAACTCCATAATTCATGCCAAAACTTTCACAATGGAGCAAAAAGCCTCTGTCTCCACAGGACAAGGAGATGATATGTCACTCATTAGCAACGTATCTGAAGAATAACTTTCAAGAGCAAATATTCACGGCTAACTTGGAGACTATGAATGCTGTGAAACATAGATGAAGTCGTTTCAAGATAACTTCATAAAAATTTCTACGAAGTATATTATGACATGTTGGGTACACATGTTAGAAACATATCGCACTTTACCGGCAGAGCACTGGTCTAACGGTGTCATACAGCTTTTTGTATGCTCTAAATAATATTATCTGTGGTTTTACGTCCCAAATTCACAATATGATTATGAGGGACGCTGTAGTAGGGAGCTCCGGAAATGTTTACCATCTGGTGTCTTTTAACGTGCACTGAATCGCGTAGTACACGGGCCTCCATTCCCTCCATCATTTCCCTACACCATTTCGCCTGCATCGAAATGCGATCACCTCGGGCGGGATCGAACTCGCGACCTTTGGGTCAACAGCCGAGCGCCCTAGCCACTGTTCCACCGAAGTGGACTTTTCTATGCTCTGTGTCCAAGCCAATGCTCACTGAATGAAGTGTTGTGCATATGCACGAAGCAGTGCGATAGTTACACGTATAACGTAACATCAAGTGTCGACAATTGATTTCTGATACTTCCAGCCACAAAACGCGACGTGGTGTTCTGCAATGAACGAATAGCAGTGTTACATTTGCGCCACGTTTTGTTCTACGGTCATATACCTTGGACTTCTGCTGATAGACGTCCGTTTCGGAATCGCGCACACTGCGAGACAGGCCGAAGTCGGCCACCTTGCATTGGCTGTGCTCGTCCACGAGCACGTTCCGGGCGGCCAGGTCACGGTGGATGATCTGCATGTTGCAAAATATGGATTTTAAGACCGTGAACATACAGAGTATACGCCACCGCTGGTGCAACAAGACTTTCATTGTGCGGTGAAAAAGCAACTTGCGTTTTCTGTAAATATCAGGGCGAGTGCAGGATAACTCTGCATTTGTGCTGAATCGGCCTTGAACGAAGTCAACTCAAAGAACGCGATGCAACCAAAGAAAGTGCTGGACTCTCCTAATTCGAGTGTAGAGAGGGCCACTAAATCAAAGATACCGAAGTGGTGTATAATATTTGAAGACGTTTAAAGTACGGTGCTTCTTTGTTAATGTACTCGGTGCCGCTATATCAGCTTATGCTGCTTGAATTTGAATACACACAGTGACGCCGCTGGCTCCATACGTCTGCCATTCTTTGCCGAGATCTCCTCCTTCCGCTGACTGGTCCCCGTATTATTCGGAAGAATGACATGGTTTCTGCCTGCTTAAGCGATGGCTTAACATATATTTATAAAGAGAGGCCAACAGTTTGCGGGGAACATTTAGTATCATATTATTGTGTTAGTTACTCTGTGTGCATTAATTTTCATCGGATCTCATTGAATGATGGTGCTTAACTGCGCGCTTTCGTACTGATTTTCTTGAGACCCACGATATTTCTCTCGAAGCTGCGCTAGTTGAGATACAATAAAATCTTTCTCGTTTTTTTAATTCTAAGCATATAATGCGCTTTTCGAGTGATCATAAAACCGATGTCTCATTAGCTGTGAAATAAGCTTTGTTTTCTGCAGCATTCACAGAGATTACAGTGTATTACAGTGATTTCAACCTGCTTAGCACGCATTCATGAACCGAGAGTGGCATCTACAGATTAGTAGGACATCTCTGTGTCTCTAGCTTTTTGTACGTTATTTAATAGCAGAACGATGTTGCGCGGCCTGGCTGGCGGTGCTCAAGCCAGTGCAAGTGGCACATACAAGCTGGGCCATCAATGTTGCCGCCATTGGGTCATGGTCGAGGTTGCTGGCGAAACGCCACACGACCCTTTAATTGTAGCGGATGCTGCTCGGCCGCGCCTCTGGTCGGCCGGATATCCGATGGACATGGTCGAATGCAGTTGTCCCCGATGCAATCGCCATAAAATTGCGCTACCCTGTGCGCCCCCGTGCGTTCTTCCGGACGTCGTTCTCGCATACAGTAAGAGAAGTGTGTGCGGAAAATGTCCTCGACGTTGGTGTTCACAAAACGCTCTGGCACTATACATAGATCGCTCGTGGAAATTGGGTTTTGCGGAATCCCACAGTGTGAAGGAAAGCTAATGGAAGCAATGAAATGTGATCTAGCCGTTTGATCTGTCCTGATTCGAGTCGGTGTTTGAACCCTAGACTAGGACAACATATGTTGAGACAACCGGGAAGCTGTCGTTCTGAGAAATCAGCATTTGCTTCCTTGCACTCACGAGCTGCATACGGGTGAATAATAATGGAGAATTTTTCATAGATTGCTCGTAAAATAAAACGTCAGCCATTGGTAAATAGGGAATAATATTAACAAATGGAGATTGCCAACAACAAAAGTGGCTCACGTATGAAAAGCATAGGGAACTCCACCCTCCGTTCGCAGTCGAAGTATAGCGCTTGGGATGCTGGAGACGAAGCTGCCGAATATAGTCGTTTGTGTGTCGCAGACTTATCGGTGGTATTCGTGTCATGGGCGCAGGCAGAAATTTATTTCGGGAGGAGGGGGGTAAGGGTATTTCGCTCTGTACGTATGGGGAAAAAGTAGGGAGGGGGGGTACGGGGCTGGTGTGCCATTCCCTGGCTACGTTACTGGTTGGTGTGTGCACACATAGACAACCGGCATGTTCTGCTATACTGACCCCTTTCCTGTGGATGTAGTCCATGCCCTGCGCCACCTGTAGGGCAAACTGCGCCAGGTCTCGTGGCCCCAGGCAACCGTCGTCCTCGGGTTCGTTGTAGTACGCACCCTGGGAACGGTGTTCGCGCAGAAATGACTGCAGCTTGCCCCGCGAAACCAGCTCCATGATGAGTAACGGGGGTTCTGCACAAGAGTCGAGCAACATAAGGCCAACAGCAAACTGCCTTGTGCTCTTTTTGATATCGTCAAAGCAGTGGGAACAATCAAAACGCTACCTAGGCAGGAAAGGGATAAGAAGCGAAGGAAGCTCTATAGGCTTATCTTTGCGGGAATTGCGCCATTACATTTTATGTCGTTACCCGAAGCTCTAAAGTATTCACTGGACTAAAAGGGACACAATAGAGAAACAATAACTTGGTTTAGATTAATAAACTGCCCTTCGAAGACTGTAATGTAACAATTCTTACTATCATAAGTTCATTATTAGCAATTAAAATCAACTTTGAAGTTTCATTTTTAAATTTCGCGCACAAATATCTGTGCATGACGTACAAGTTTCAAAGTATATTTTTCGTAGTTTCGTGGCATTTGCACAATGAAAGTTCATGAAACTTTGCATGCTAGGTCTATGGCACCCACAGATAACAACGTACTTCATTTTAATCAATTAGAAGCTACGTATGACCCAGTATATGCCTTTAGAGTTTATGACGTCACGGTGTTTGGTGCGAAAATCTCAATGTGGCGTCTCCACCTGGAATTCATTTTCTGATGTTTTCTCGCTCACCAAGCGTCGTCTCGTGGTAAGAGTAGTGTTTTCGGAATTATGGAATAGTACTTGATGAATACGCGAAAAATTGTTTTGCCCATTATTGTCAATTTATTGTCCAGCACTTGCAAACCTTGAGTGGGTACCATAACTAGATGGTCTACAGTAAAACGTGATACGCCTGAAATTCTGCGCCCACGACAGTTGAACGCAGCAGTGTACTTTAAGCTCACGCGTATCTTGTATATGTTCTGTTCTTTCTATGTTTCTACCTTTTCATCTTTTAATCTCCTTTCGCTAGCGTAGGATAGCAAACCAGACGCGCGTCTGGTTGATCTTTCTGCCTTTCCTTTTTCATCATCCTCCTTTCCTAATGTCCTGGAGAAGTGCAAATAAGTTTAACAGCAACACAAGCCCGCTGTAAACTAGCTTTGCGGCCTCTGCGATAAGTTTCGTGGTCGTTTCTCTTCATTTGCAAAGACCAAAAGAATATTCGGAGGAGGTCAATACAATTGGCATACAAACTGACGTATGTATTTCCCCGCGGTTCGCTTTAAAAGTGACATTGGTTCAATACGATCAGAAAATAAAAACCAGGTAGGGCAACTGCCTGTGAATTTCGCAAGGTTATATCCGCCAGCCACCTACATCACCCTAATCCTAATGTGCACTCCTTAAGGCAGGAAGAGGGGAATGTTAACCCAACCTAGGTTATTTCCGACTAATTTCTACGAGCAATGTTGTTGAGACTATAGAAGCAGAAACAAAAATTGGCTGCGTATCTCCGTGCTTTGCTGCAAGGGACGTCAAAGACGATAGTTTTCTTCCTGGGGGCGCTATGTGAGATATAGTGCCACCTGGAGGCAATGTGAAGACACAAAGTTTTGCAGAACAGAGAGCCACTGGGTCATTTTAGTTGAAGCTCCTGATTTTTCACAGCGAAAGCTGTTATGAGATTTCAACACATGGGCCGCGTGCGCGCCGCAGGTGTCCGCCACCGCAGGGGTCCGTAAACACTTTCGCACGAAGTAAGAAAAAAAGTTAGTAAATAAAAATCATCAAGAACGTAATGAGATTCGAACCCGGGTCCCCTGCCTGCCAGCCCAGCATTCCACCACCGAGTCATGGCGGTGCCTGGAACGCCCATGAAAATTGTCCCTAGGCAGGTTTTGATTTCGGGAAAGAAATCACGTTATTACGAGTAATAAAGCGTTATACAAACACAAAGAAACAACCAGGTGTCAGATAATGCAAATTGCGCCGCAAAGAGTGGGTCGTCGAATGCTCCAACCCTTTACAAAAGCATGGTCTTGTTCTCCTATTAAGTGTGGTGCATACCCACTGTGGGGAATCGGGGGGATTACAAAAGCTTCTGGCGTAGTTCTTCACTGTCGTCAGCCACATCACACAAAAAATGCACTAAGTTTCTGGAAATTGCGCAGCAGGTACCACGCTTTTCTGAAGACTGACGAAGCATATGGCATAGTGAATGCCTGCCTATAAATAATGGCGTAAGGGGTACCCTAGCTGCAAGTGTGCTTGCAGCAGATACTTAAAGAGTGTTAAAAAAAAAGGCTCTGAAAGGCCGCTCTTCTAGCTTTCGTTGTGACAGTGCTTCGCGTTCAGTGCGGGCCTCGTGGTGTTTTAGCGAAGCCTATAGGAAACACCCGCTTTTTCGTTCATAGCGTCGCATTGTAAGCGCAGCGTAATAGACACTTCGGTCTTCAGAAGTGTCAATTTAATGTCCAGCGCTAGCAAACCTTCAGTGAGTACCAATACTAGACGGTCTACAGTAGAATGTGATAGGCCTGAAATTCTGCGTCCACTACTGTCGAACGCAACCTATGCATTTTCTAAATAAAAAGCACACTGCCCAGCACTTATATATTGTTACAGCGAGCTGTGATGAAATGGCTTTATTTACAAGAGTCAGTTCACTGCTGATGCCGTTGAAGAATTACTACGCATGTGCACGACACAGTTTCATCATTGATTGATTGACTGATATGTAGGGTTTAACGTCCCAAAACCACCATTTGATTATGAGAGACGCCGTAGTGGAGGGCTCCGGAAATTTGACCACCTGGGTTCTTTAACGTGCACCCAAATCCGAGTACACGGGCCTACAACATTTCCGCCTCCATCGGAAATGCAGCTGCCGCAGCCGGGAATCGACAGTTTCATCATTCCACACTGTATCATCCGCAGACGAATGGCCTCGTTGAACGGACAAACAGAACGCTGACCAACATGCTTGCCATGTACGTTTGTTCCAATCACAAGACTGGAATGAAGTGCTGCCTTTTATCACGTACGCCTACAACACGGCGAAACAATGAAACAACAAACTTCACCCCATTTTATCTGTTGTACGCCTGGTTGCTGTCTATACTCGCGATAGTCGTCACATGGGCTAGCCTGCCAAAACTTCGGCGTGATGCGCCTCGTCTTTAATGCTCAAAAGTGCGGCAATGGCGAATGACATCGGCGACAGATGTCATGGTGTCCTTCACGATGAGGAAACTGTAAACATCCTCGGCGATTCCTTTTAGGATGTGCCCGACTTTGTCTTCCTCAGACATTCTGGAGTCAATGATCCCACATAGCTTTATTACTTCCTCAGTGTAGGCCGTGTAAGTTTCACTTGGCACTTAGCGCGTTGCATTAGCGTCTGTTCTGCTCATTTCTTTTTTGTTGTTGGGTCGCCGAAACGCTCTTTAATCTCAGAAACAAATCTGTCCCACGTCGTTAGCGTTTTCTCCCGATTCTCGTACCACATTAATGCAGTATCCGTCAGAAAGAACGCGACGTACAAAAAGCTGAGAATATTTACGATGTGCCCTAAATATGCGTAATATTTGCTGTGTGGTTGGCAGTGTTTACTAGTGTGAACGCAGCCACTAGATCAAGATGGGTGGGCGTTGAGCAAGGGGCTAAATTTTCGCCTGGGGGCGGAATCGCTCCAACACACAAGAGACAATCATACAGACGAAAATGTTTGCGTTTAAATATCCCAAGGAAGACTGTCGTAACAAAGAAAACTTTTTATTGCTCAGCAACTGCGTTTAACGTGTTAAAGGCTCAGTCGCTCTCTGCAAGGGCCGACCATCGAGGACTACGATATGTCCTTGAAATATTATAAATGTTGGCCTAAAATTTTAGATTTACAGTTGCACATTCACTAATGTGAAAAGTAGGAAAGTGATCATGCCGGTCGTAAGGTAATTTATGCCTTGCGCAATTTATGCTTGTTATGATGTTTAAGCCTTGCGTGTATTTATGTGATATTCGCGCAAATAAAGTACATGAACTACAATTGTTACGCGGCTCTCTGACCACTCAGCTGTGACCCAGAACTTTCTCACGTGGGACCTGAGCAAGTAGCATATGCAAGTAGTCAGACACCGTAACGGAGAGCTAAAAAAAAGGTTGCACACACTAAGGGAATTAATGGTATGCTAAGAATTTAGCCATCAGCTTTCTCCCCAACCTCGTTGGGATTGCTCAAAGCGCTAGAATATGAAAAAACGCGTTTCCGTAAGACGGATAGCGATGTTTCTTACGCGAGCATGCGTGAGCCGACCGCAGCAGGATGATGGTGACAATGTTGTTTTACCCTAATCGCGTTTCTGGCGACGCGCAGCGTTGCTTGGAGTGGTGGGTTGTGTAAGACTCGAAGTGTCGCTATCGCACTCGCGTAAAACGCTCATGGAAAGACTAACGCACGCAGCAGTTGCGAATGCGCTTACAAAGTGCGGCGTATCACGGCTGTTTTCGCCGCTAGAGAGTAAATAGTTTAAACCTGTCTTATCTAAAAAATTTTATTGCATCCCCTATTTAACGTTTGCTTTTCTGGCGCCGAAACAAACTCTGGGACCAAGGAGGTTAAGAGTGTGCGAGCACGGTATAGTGATAATTTATACTCGTGCATTTGATTGTTCAATTGGCACCTTCAAAACCTCTGTCAATCTGCTTCTCTGTAAAACAGCGTAGTCCACTTCCGTCACTTCTCTTTGGCTTTTACGTATAACCATTGTGTTTATACGGAAATTTACCTCTTATATTCATTATTTCAGTGTTCACAGAAATCAGGTAGAGGAGGAGGAGAAGAGAATGAGGAGGAGGAGAAAGAGGAGAAAAGGTTGGCGAGGAGGTTAGCCAGTTCTGACTTTCCTCTGTATACGGAGAAGAGCAGTATTAAAACTGACGTGCCGAAGGAATTCGTAACACTTATTTTATCGCTCTATACACTTGCCAATATACACTTCCCTTAGGGCAAGTCTATGTTGTCGTGTATATTGTGCAATATACACTTGCCTTAGGGTAAGTGTATATTGCAACAAAAAAAAAGTCATTTGAAACCACTTCTGGCCCACGAATGAAATGTGCTTAAAGTTCAAGACGTAGCCAAAATATGGACACATTTTGCATGTACTTAAAGCATCAAAGAAAAAATTATATTGCTTTCTGTAATAAGGTAGATAGGTGGGCGAGTTGCGTTCTGTGTGAGCCTTCTAAGTCAAAATTACATTGTTGGACAGCACTCAAGCTAAAGCATTATGCCTTTGGTTCTCCATAGCCTCTCAGTCCTTGGCAGAGCTAAAAAGGTGCAAGTTACTTTTAGGAATGAAATACTTTTGCGTGCTTTCATTCCTTATTTGCTTCAAGGTCTACACTCAGCAGTATCACCGAATATAGACCACAATAATTCATTACCTTATGAGTCAATAAGGCGTTTTTCGCCTTCCTAATTTTAATGAACCCGGGGTAATCAGTGAGGCTTCCAAATAAATGTGTACATACGAATTGGGAGTTTTTTCGCACACATGAGGGACAATTTTGGACGCGTTTTCACTCTCCGGTTACGGGCAGCAGGTATCCCTGCCCGTGCGGTGCAGCTGTGCGGATAGTGCGTGTACAGGCCCTAAAAGAACGAAAGAAGGAGCGGTCTCTGCTCCAGCTGGTGTTCTCACCGTCGAGTGTGCAGCATCCCAGGAAGCGAACGACGTGCGGGTGCTGGCCCAGTTTCCTCATAAGCCCCATCTCGCGCACAAGGTCTCTCTTCTCCTCGTTGGTCGCGTACTCTGCAGAAAAGCCACATTCATGAATCGGGAAGGTGGTCTTGTTTGAAGGTGAACCAATGGCGCGTCAGGACTACGTGTTTTCACGAATCAGTCCGCATGCTAGAGTACGTACCCTGTTACAGCACGCACAGTTCTACTCGCGACTGCCTTTACACATTTCAGAATTAGTGGCACAGGCCTAAGCAGTATTTCTTGGTATTGGTAGAAAAATTCTTATACACATAGAGCTGCCAGAGCTGCGCACGTGTTGACCTGCGGCGGTATCTCCATGGAAATGAGGTACCAATCTTGTTGCCTTCGTCCAGCTATAATTCAATTGAGGCACTCTCGACGAATGAAGATTCCTTCTTGAAGTATGTCGCGTATATCCGAGAGCCTTTGCGTGCTGACTGTCGTGTAAATTGAATCAAACGTGAAAACAAAGCGTATCGCATAGAAGAATATGAATAAGAACAAATGGTCCCGAATATCTAGATTATTTTGCTCAACACAAAAGCTCTCGCGGTTACATTGATAATAAAGAAAGTCATAGCTTGCCGCGAAAGTGAAGAAATTAACGCGACAGCACCAAATTGAAAGGTCACGCGCAGAATGGAAAGCAAATCGAGACGTGCCCGTGTTTCTCACGCAAAAATTATGCACGAAACGTACTCACACGTACGAATGCACGTCAATAAGCGTCTCATTTGTTATTTGCTGTGTCTGAAAAGTGCGCGCTTCTAGCAAACGGAGACTGCAATGATTTCAGTTACCTTTGTGCACCCGGTAACTACAGCAGAATCGTTCCAGGTGAAGCCCGAGGCGAGACAAGGCGTACGATTCTCCCCTTCTCGCCACCGCGAGATAAGGGCGCGTGAGGAAGCGTCGCTCTCCTTCTCTAAGCCGGGGCTAAGTGCGCGTGGGAGATAAAGCGGGCGCCGCCACGCGATGTGCCGACGCGCGCTCATTGCGCCATCTTGCTGGTAATGCTGAAAATACAATTCCCCCCGAGACGCTCGTGAGCAGCAGTAAGCGGTAGATATAAATAGCTTGCCGTTTTAATGGCGGAGGACGTGCTCCGGGGTGCTCAGTGATTAACGCCTCGCTTTCACGATGCAGAGTTCCCCCGTTCAGTCTGCGTGCCGGAGTGTTTGTTTTTTTTTCTATTTTTTTTCTTTCTTGCGCTTCCATATATATAGATAAGTATACTATATGATGCATGACATCGACGCCCACGTCGACACCAGCAGCACAATCCAGCCGAACTGTCCTGTCCATATAGTTGCCTTTACAATAATATATAAGAATATGTGGCTATCGCAATAATAATGTGTTTTTTACGTCCCAAAACCAAAATGTGAATAGAGTGACGCCATTGTGGAGAGCAATGGAAATCTTGACCATCTGGTGTTCTTTACTGTGCACTGACATCGCAGAGTACATGGGCCTCTACCATTTCGTCTCCATCTAATGCAACCGCCGCGGCCTGTATCGAACACGCACCTTTCGGCTCCACAGCCGAGCCCCCTAGCCACTGATCCATCGAGGCGAACGCGGTTACATTGCGTTTGTCAGTTGCTTCTTTTTCCTCCGTACATTTAGCTACTATATAGCATAATAAAAATTTTGTTCTATAGTTCGAGCTGCTTTTAGAAAAGATGCACTTAGTCTTCAGAAATACCCAGCGCAGTTGTTTCTTGATGTTATCTCTTATTTGTGGGCTCCCTGTGATTTTTGGAACCTGAACACTGCAATGTTTAACGCTAAAACCTTATCTAGTAAGGCAAGTTAATCTGTCTATTCGAGGAGCTAGAGGGTGTATATAGGATGTAATAGAGCTAAGTGATGTTAGGGACATATGAGGCCTATATAGTGCTACAGAATGGGCACGTCATTGCTATCGTAGCTTGACTGACAAAAGAGAACTGGGCGTGGGGTTCCTTATCTACATAAATGTAGCTGGCAACGTAGATAAATACCATAGCATTAATGAAAGGGTGGTAGGTGTCATACTTGAACTCAATAAGAGATACAAGATCAAGGTGGTACAGGTTTACGTGCCTACCATCCAGCCATGATGACGGGTCAGTTGAAAGCATCTATGAAGACGTGGAATCGGCAATGAATAAGGTAAAAATTAGTATGCTATGGGCGACATTAACGCCAAGGTAGGGAAGAAGCAGGCTGGAGATGAGGCAGTAGGAGATTATAGCATCGGTACGAGAAATGCCAGAGGGAATCTATAGTAGAATTCGCTGAACGCAATAATTTGCGGATCTTGAGTATCTTCTAGCGAAAACGAGGGAACCGTAAGTGGACATGTAGGAGCCCTAATGGTGAAAGTAGGAATGAAATAGACTTTATACTGAGTGCACACTAGGCATCGTTCAGGATGTGCAAGTGCTTGGCAAGATACGATGCAGTGACCATAGAATGGTACGGTCTCAAATTTGTCTAGAACTGAAGAAGGAACGAGAGAACTGTTACGCAAGAAGCCAATAATGAGCTAGCACTAAGAGGGAAAGTACAGGAATTCAGAGTCTCGCTTCAGATCAGGTACTCAGCTCTTATTGAGGAAACCAGCCTTAGCGTCGAAGCAATGAATGATAATTTGACGAGAATCATTACGGAGTGTGCAGTGGAAGTTGGAGGTATACGGTAGTTAGACATGACACTAGCAAGCTGTCCCAGGAGACGAAGAACCTCATTAAGAAGCGTCATAGTATGGAAGCCTCAAACACAACAGAGAAAATAGAACTGGCGAAGTTTTCGAACTTGATTATAGGCGTAAGGTATTCGATGCAAGAATGCATAACGTAGAGAGAATCGAACATGCTCTGAAGAACGGAAGAAGTGACAAAGCGGTGAAGAGGAACTTGGGATAGGCAAAAACCTATTGCCCAAGGGACAAGGAAGGCAAAGTACTACCAATGTGAATAAGACATACAAAATAGCCGAGGAGTTTTACGGAGATCTGTACAGTAGCCGGGACAACCCCGATCATTATATAGTAATAGCAGTAACCCAGATGGCATCCCACCAGTAATGATAGAAGTCAGAAAAGCTTTGTAGAGCATGCAAAGAGGCAAAGCTGCTGGTAAGGATCAGGTAACATCAGATCTGCTGAAAGAGGAGGACTGATTGCGTTAGAAAACGAGCCACCCTGTTTACGAAGTGTCTCCTGACGGGAAGAGTACCAGAATATTAGAAGAATGCTAACATCATCTTAATAGATAAGAAAGGAGATGAGAAAGGCTTCAAGAATTACAGGCCAATCAGCTTGCTCTCCATCGTATACAAGCTATTTACAAAGGTAAATACTAACAGAATTAAGACAACATTAGAATTCAATAAACAAAAGAACAAGCAGGATTTCGAACAAGCTACTTCTCAATCGACCACATTCATACTACCAATCAGGTAATAGAGAAGTGCTCAGAATACAGCCAACCACTATACATAGCCTTCATAGGTTACGAGAGGCGTTTGATTCAGTAGAATATCAGCAGTCATGCAGAAATTGCGAACTCCCGCGAAACCAGCTCGACGAAGCATATATAAACATCCTGGAAGAAATCTGCAGGGATCAACTGCCACCATACTGTTCCATAAAGAAGCAACAAAATACCAAACAAGAAGGCCGTAAGGTAGGGAGGATACAATCTCCCCAATGCTAGAATGGGAACGGGCTTAGAATGGAAGAGTTAGGGATAAAAGTTGATGGAGACTCCCTAGTAACCTACGCTTGATTTGATTTGATTTGATTTGTGGGGTTTAACGTCCCAAAACCACGATATGATTATGATAGACGCCGTAGTGGAGGGCTCCGGAAATTTTGACCACCTGGGGTTCTTTAACGTGCACCCAAATCTGAGCACACGGGCCTACAACATTTCCGCCTCCATCGGAAATGCAGCCGCCGCAGCCGGGATTTGAACCGCGCCCTGCGGGTCAGCAGCCGAGTACCTTAGCCACTAGACCACCGCGGCGGGGCTAACCTACGCTTCGCCAACTACATTGCATTGCTGAGTAACTCGGGGACGAAATGCAACTCATGATTTCGGAGTTAGACTAGGAGAGTAGAAAGGTAGGTCTTCAAGTTAATCTGCAGAACACGAAAGTATGTACACAACCTGGGAAGATAACAGCATTTCGATATAGGTAATAGTGCACTTGAAGTTTGTAAAGACTACGTCTACTTAGACAGGTAATACCGCGGAGCCTAACCACGAAATTGAAGTAACTAGAAGAATAAGAATGGGGTGGTACCATTTGGCAAGCACTCTCAATCATGACTAGTAGATTGCCACTATCCCCCAAGAGGAGGGTATATAACACTGCATCTTGCCGGTACTTAGCTATGGAGCAGAAACCTTACAAAGGGTTAAGCTTAAATTGAGAACGACGCAGCGAGCGTGATGGAAAGTTAAATGGTAGGTGTAACCTTAAGAGACACGATGAGAGCAGAGTGTATTAGGGAACAAACGGGATTAAGAATTTATAGTTTAAATCAAGAAGAGGAAATGGACATGGACCGGGCATGTAGCGCGTAGTAGGTAACCACTGGTCATCAAGGGTAAGGACTGGATTCCCAGAAAGGCAAGCGGGGTTCGGGGAGACAGAAAGTTAGGGGGCCAGATGAGATTAAAAATTTGGCTTTAAAGAGGCAATAGCAAGCACTGGACAGAGTTGACTGGCGGAACACGGGAGAGACTTTTTTCCTGCAGTGGACAGTCAGGCTAATGATGAAGATCATCTTTAAAACAAAACACGCGAGTTAAATAAAAGTCAAAATGTTGGTACTCTCTGAAATGTAGCATTCTGAAGGGCGTTTCAAAGAAGCTACACCTACTGGTTGGCCTAAAACAAAACACATCAGAGTGTCCCTCAATTGCTATTCAGCACCGGATGATCGCTCCTCATCGTCACCACGCTATCTCTTGCATTTTCACAATGCAAATCCTCGTTTAAATACCAGGATTATACTAGCCCAATGGCTATTTTTTATGTGCTATATATAACGAACTAGCATGGTGGCTTCATTGCTTTCATTCTTTGCATACGCAAGTTAAGAATGAAAAGACAAAAGCACATAGCATCGCCATTCTTTATTCTATCAAAGGGGTTCTTCAAACACAGAACTGAATGAATGAATGAATGAATGAATGAATCTTTCACTTTGGGACTGGTTATGGCTAGATTATGATGATTTCATGCTAAGCAGTTAGTAATAAAAAAAGGAAGAAAGGATGTCGCATAAAAATGCTCATATGAAAGAAGATGGAACCATGCAATACTGTATTTCCCATGTTACTTCTGTTTTTTTCACTCAAACAGAGCGACCTAGAAAACCCTTCCACCTCACTACTCAAGCACTGTTGTCATCCGTGCAATATTTT